CCGGATATCCATATTTGGATATCAAAGGATCCCATATCCGGATATTTATATCCGGATACTATATCCGGATATCAATATCCGAATACCATATCCGGATATTTCGCGACAGAATGCAATTTCTGCATTTCACGAAGTTATCCATCCAAGATTCCATTTTTAACACTTCAAAACGTCAAAGCATGCATTTTTATTCTGTTTTAAGTCCACATACCAATTGTTACTTTTTTAACTCATTTACATGCAAAGGCACCACCTTTAAACCAATAAAACTCATGATCAAGGTTAGGAAACTCACCCCAAGGCTCAAAACAGAGAAGCAAAGGCTCATGGAGCTCACCAAACAGCTCCAACTATGCAGACCAAGAAGGTGCACGAAAATGCCACACCAAAGGTTGGTTCTTGCACCAAAAGATGACTCATTGGCACCACAAATGCCAAGCCAAAGGTCCAAACTCTCTCTAAACTTAAAGTCAGAAACCTACTCACTCACAACCACCCTCACAACTAAGAAATGCAACCATTTTCTGTTTCCCAAAGCTTGAATGCACTCACCCATGGAGTTTTTGTGAAGAAAATGAGAAGAAAGGTTACAAGGAAGGTCAAACAATGGTGGAGAAGGCCAAGGCAGCAGCCACCAGAAGTCACTCACGTAATAATGGCTGGAGATCAGCCTAGGGTTTAGTGCCAAACACAATATATAGGCGGTTTAAGTCATAACACACAGTATTATCATAAATAGCTACGCTTAGTATTTTAATCCCAAACTCAGGATTCTTAACCTACTCAATTTTACAAGAATTATCATATTTTTATTTTATTTTTCGGAGCACCTTTCCGGTACGCGCTTTTCCCATAGCTAGTATCAGTTCTGGCACCAGTTCTCATTATTTTAACTTGAAACTCGCTTTACAAGTCCTATATATTATTTTAGTAATATTCATGCATATATTATAATTTTCCGAAATACTTTATCGGTACACATTTATACCGACTAGCAGAACCGATATCTGCACTTTTCGTCAGAAAAGCGAATTTCAGCATTCTTAATCACTTACTACATTTATTTAAGCCTCATGATAATTATTAGGGTCAATTATGGAATTATTTCCTAATTTCACATAATTAATTAATTAACTTCCTTAATTAACGGTGCGAGTTCTTACAATTTATGACTCCAATTTGCAAGCATGTGACACCATTGATCTTTTTTGATCTAATGACTCTCAGATGAGGCATCAAACTTTAGGATCCTACCCCATATATATGTGTGTATATATATATATATGTGTGTATATATATATATATATATATATATATATATATATATATATATATATATATATATACATATATAAAAGAGATAAGATCCTTTGACACCAGTGTCAAAACCTCATCTATGAGAGATAGGATCCTTTGACACCAGTGTCAAAACCTCATCTGAGAGTCATTAGATCTAAAATGATCAATGACTCCAATTTGTAAGCATGTGACACCATTGATTTTTTTGATTTAACGGCTCTTAAATGAGGCGTCAAACTTCAAATTTAACACTAGTATTAAAAGATCCTACCTCTCTCTAGATATATAGGGGTAAATATTTCTGCAGCCACTTTAAATAAGATTATATACAACTATCCTTTATAATTGTGTACTACCAGTAGTACATAGTTATAATATTAAAGTTTTTTTTTCTCTTCTCAGTCACTTTTCAAAACCTGTCCGCTGACGTGGAGGAAAAAACAACTTTAATATTATAACTATGTACTGCCGGTATTACATAGTTATAAAGAGTAACTATATATAACATGAAGAAGGATCCGTTTACAAATTTTTTTTAAATTTTTTTATAAATTACACTATGTTCTCCCGGGAGAACATGGTGTAACCAGAGTACTCTCGAGAGAACATAGTGTAGTTTGTAAGAGTTTGTAAACAAAAAAGTTTATAAATATAACCTGCCCCATATAGATTCTCAAACTGGTAAGTAGTAATTACACAAATTTCTATGTTCTATATTTCAGGTGAAAAAAATTACAGCATTGACACAGAACTTGACAAATATCAACCACAAACAAAAATTTGTTATTGAGAGGGATAATTAATTTTGCATATAACTACATCATAATACACCATAATACGTTATAATACACTATGTTAACATGAGGAAGGGATATAAAAACAAAAATGCATACAAATCATTGCTAACTATAACATTCATCAACAAAATCAAGGTAACAATAACACCAAGCAAATATAGATTTAAAAGATCAGTTTTTACCTATAATATAAAAACGATATTCATTCAGTGTCATTTCGTAGCAATCATTGGAAGGATGAGTTCAACACTTACTAAATATGTCATTTGCTGTGTGATTTTCGTTCTTTGTGCCTACGATACAGAAGGCAAAAATTCATTAAATAAGTAACACTAATATGTTAACACCCAAAAGTCATACTATCAACAAAAAAAAGAAAGATTGGATTAAATTTTTTTAAGGACAAAAAAAAATGTTGTCTGAACGAGATTTGAATACAACTTAATCAAATAAGAATGTATGAGTCATATTTTTTGCTTACATTGCAACAAATGCATATAAACAGAATCAAAGCAACTACACTACTCTTTTAGATAGACTTCATTTATTGCAATCACATTTAAAAAATAATAATAAATAATTATTATTTACAAGGATTTGTTTCGTTAGTATTTGAAATTTTACAAATTTGTATTTACAAAAAAAATCATATTTAGGAATTTAATTATAAAAGAAGAAGGATGAAATTTTAATTTAATTATAAAAGAGTAAATACCCTTTTTGGTCCTCAGGAAATTTCACGACACTCTTTTTAGTCCCTAGTAAATAAAAAGGCCTATCATGGTCCCTAAGAAATTCAAAATGGACCCATTTAGTTGAAATCGTGGTCCCTCATAAATTCAAAAAAGATCCATATTAGTCCCTAAAAGGACTAAAATGGGTCCATTTTGAATTTCTTAGGGACCACGATGAGCCTTTTTATTTGCTAGGGACTAAAACGGACATCGTGAAATTTGCTGAGGACCAAAAATGGTATTTACTCATTATAAAAATGTGTTGGTGGGTCGGTCTTCCGGGCCGAGTGCAGTTTGCCACCTCTAACTATCAGCTTGTAAAAAGTTTTTATATTTATCCACAAAAAAAGGTTTTTATAGTTGCATCTAGGTTTTTATATTTTACCTCAGATATGAACTTTCATTTACTACAATCAGATTTATAAAATAATAATAAACAATAATTTTTTTGCAAGGATTAGTGTCATTAGTCTTTGGAATTTCACAAAGTCATATTTACAAAAATTGAAATAAGATTTAGTAATTTAATTATAAAAGAAGAAGGATAAAATTTCAATTAAATTATAAAAATATAATGGTGGGCCGGCCCTCCGAGCCGAGCCCAGTTTTCCACTTCTAACTGTCAGCATTTTATATAAATAATTTTTTGTTGTTGCAAGAATTAGTGGCGTTAGTCTTTGAAATTTCACATATTTGTATTTACAAAAATTAAAATCAAATTTAGTAATTTAATTATAAAAGAAGAAGGATAAAATTTCATTTGAATTAAAAAAATATATTATCCATTAGAGAAATCAGATTTAGTAATTCAATCGGAATCCCACCCCTTTTTTTCTCTCAATGATAGAGAAATATTTTTTTGACTCAAACGTATAAATTATTTTCCAATAGAAAAAACACACAGAATCTTTTGTTTGTAATATATATAACCAACTGAACATATTAACGTGTTTTTTTTTTCTGCTTCAGAGAGTCAAATACCTACATCAAGAAAATACTAGGGGCAGTTTGGATGGGTTTAAAATTTTTTTTTTTTTTATAAGAAATAAATTTTCTACATACATAAAAGAGTGGTGGGTTCCACTTCTATTATTTTCTCTTCTTACTTGTAATTTTGTTTCTACTATATTAGATAACTATTTTTCTTTAAGAAAAATATTTCCCTTTTTATAAATATATTTTATAATTTAAAAAATTATTTTTTTATTTAAAAGAAACTCGTAGCATCCAACCTATAATCGAATTGTGTCAAGATATTATTGAATGCAAGCGTATTTTTTTTTTAAAAAATTGATCTTGCATCAAAAACTGTAAAATAAAATGAGAGACAAAACCAAAATCAAAATAATTTTTAAAAAATATAAAGAGTAAGATTTTACTCTGTGGTTACCTTATTCTTTTCCAAACATATGCACATGGGATAGGGACAAGTTGAAATGCAATGAGAACATTTACTTATGGTTATGGGTTCTGTTGAAAAGTCTCCTCAATTATTATCTAAAATGGCGTGCTCTGGCAGGTATTAAATTCAACTTCAACTTCAATCAAAGCATCATGTAAATTTTCTAAGATACCTTTCGACATTATTACGACATTTTGACTGTAAGTCTAGAATAAGCGAAAATTCTTCTTAATCAATTATGGTTATATTTATCTTATTATATATTAAAAAAATAAATTTTTTATACACATAAAAGAGGAATTAATGTAATTTTTTTTTTCTCTCTTTTTATCTGAGAGTTCCACTTATAAATGTAACTTTATAATATAAGATAATTATTTTTCTACGACATAAGAAAAATATTTAATAAATATTATAGTATATATTTCATATAGAAGTTTGTGTACTAAATGAATGTAATAGTAGATTAATAAATTACTTACCTTTCAATATTATAGCAAATATTCAATGATTAATATATTAATATTTTATGAAAAATATATTTCTCGCACACATAAAAATAGGTAAAATCTAATTTTTCTTTTCTTTTTTCTTTAATGAATTACACCTACTTTTTTTTGTACATTATGATAATTTTGTCTAGTACAATATAATATATCCTTAAATGCACAAAGTACGAGGATTTTAGCTTGATCTGTCTGGCAGATGGTCTCATAGTCCAATTCAACCAAGTCTAGTGTTTTGAAAGTTCTTAGGCTCGATCCATCGGCCACGATGTGCATATAAAAGAATGACAATAAATCCTTAAGTTTCACCGAAAACTCCCTCAATATCAATCTCACAACCTTTGAAGCTTGAAAATCTTTCAGCTTTCTCGCTCAGACTTCGTTCCCTGCAGCACGCAAATGGGCATCCCTCACTTTCTTGCTATACCATATCCAGTTCTTGGACATGTGAATCCCCTTATGCAGTTCTCTCAGGTTCTAGCCAAACATGGCTGCAAGATCACATTTCTCAACACAGAGTTCAGCCACAAAAGAGCAAATATAGCTGCTGGTGGTGCTGCTGGCCTAGACAAACTCAATGATGGTTCACAGATAAAGTTTGTCACACTCCCAGATGGTTTGGCCCCTGAAGATGACAGAAGTGACCACCTCAAACTTGTTTTCTCAATCAAAAACAATATGCCTGCTATGCTTCCCAAGCTCATACAAGACATTAATGCTTCCAATGTTGACAATAACATCACTTGCATAGTTGTTACAATGAATATGGGTTGGGCCTTGCAGGTTGGCCACAAATTGGGAATTAAAGGTGCTTTTTTATTTCCTGGCTCAGCAACTACATTGGCCTCATGTCATTGCATCCCAAACCTGATTGATGATGGAATCATAGATTCAGATGGTAAGATTAATATTTACTCATTCTTTTTACACAATTTTTTTTTGGAAAGTTATATTTGTTATCATTTTAAGCTTATCACTCTTACTGTCGTTTTGGTTATTGTTAGATCATTTTGAAATCAACTGTTGGAAAAAAGAATCATTAATTTTGAGTTAATCTAACAATAACCAAACAAATAGTAAGAATGACAAGTCTAAAATAGTGATAAGTATAATCTTCTCATTTTTTTATACTTAGTTATATATAAATTTCATCAAGAAATCTATTTTCCCAAAATTAAGGAAATAAAACTTTTGCTTCACAATTTTGGGAAGTCATTGAAAGAGTGATTTGGCATTGTATTTATATTCACTTTTGAGTATATTCATGTCGCTGTATGCACACATGGATGAATTTGGCATTGTATCTAACAAATTACTTCTTCTAATATTATAGAAGTACAAAAATAAGTACTTTCTTAGATTTCATTTTTGAATTGCAGGACTACCCACCAAAAAACAAGAAATTCAGCTTTTCCCAGATATGCCTATGATGGACACAGCAGACCTACCATGGTGTACCCTAGGTAAGACCCTGTTCCCTCATATAGTTCAAGAGATGCAAACTATGAAGTTAGGAGAATGGTGGCTTTGCAACACCACTTGTGATCTTGAGCCTGGGGCACTTGCCATATCACCAAGGTTCATGCCAATTGGTCCATTGATGGAAAGTGACAACAATATTAAAAGCTCATTCTGGGAAGAAGACACAACTTGCCTAGAATGGTTGAATCAGCATCCACCTCAATCTGTCATATATGTTTCCTTTGGTAGTTTGGCAGTTGTGGACCCCAACCAATTCAAAGAATTAGCTCTTGGACTTGATCTCCTTAACAAGCCTTTTCTTTGGGTTGTGCGTCCAGATAATGATAACAATGTAAACAATGTATACCCTGATGAATTCAATGGAAGTAAAGGTAAAATTGTTGGTTGGTCACCACAGAAGAAGATATTAAACCACCCTGCAATAGCTTGCTTCATTACTCACTGTGGTTGGAATTCTACTATAGAAGGCGTCTGTGGTGGCATACCTTTATTGTGTTGGCCATTTTTTAGTGACCAATTTGTTAACAAGTCATATATTTGTAATGTGTGGAAGGTTGGATTGGGATTAGACAAGGATGAAAATGGATTAATATCCAAGGAAGAGATAGGGAAGAAGGTGGAGTTACTGCTTGGCGATGAAGAAATTAACGCAAGATCATTGAAGCTGAAGGAAATGATCATTAATAACATGGTTAAAGGTGGCCAATCTTCAACAAACATCGACAAGTTTATCAACTGGGCCAATTAGTAATACTTGGGCTATAGTTTGGATTGGAATATGGAAGTTGGATTTTTTTTTATTTTTTTTTGACTTTTTTGGTTTGAAATTTATTACATACATATATATTAGACAAAATGATCTAGAATAAACAGACATATGAAAATATTAGGATGAGATTCTTCATATCCTATCATTTCATTTGTATTAATGAAGTTCCTTCAATAAGTCATGTGTTCCCTTAATTCATTATTATAGCCCATCGGTTTTTATGTGTTACATGATAGTCGTTTTCAAGAATTTCTTTTGCCTTCATTTCGCTGACACACCTAAGCTCTTAGATGAAGGTTATTATATTAACAGTTGATATGCACCTCTCACACAAGACTCTATTATGGTTGAAGGATGGATAATACAAAAATTCAATTTTTTTTTTTTTGGAGTTACCCAACCCTAATTATCTCTTTGAGACGAGTTGGCTCCCTCTGGTATCCCCACGAGCTTCGACTCTTTGAGCCGGCTATGAGACTAATCCGGAGTGCGGGGGAACAGTGATGACTAAAGGTTCAGCCCCCTCCCCAAGAATGCATTCAGCGGGAATCGAACACATACAAAAATTCATTAATTTGTACTAAGAAATTTTCATAGTTTTTAATTATTTATTATTAAAATGGAATAAGTGAGATCAAAATTTTATAATACTTAATTATTTATTAATAGAATGAGAAGGTAAAATTTGAATTCGTAATTATTTAATCACATAGCCTTTAGCTTTGATACCAAATAAAATTGAGCATAACAGAGTATATTCAAAGACATGATTTTTCTTGCCAAAATTTATGCTCACTTTAAGAAACTTGAGTAAAAGTTCAGTAAAAAGCAAATGGGAGATTAAAAAATAAACTCAAAAGATGAATGTAAATAGAGTAAATAGAGAGACGTCCGAACACAAATTTTATAGAAGTTCTGCCCTAACTCGGTGTTTATGCATACTCTCTGCTCTGGGAGAAACATCAGTAAGTTAATTTCAATTCTTGAAAGACGAAAATAGTCTTGAAAGATTCATACATCTTGTATGGATATCATCGAATTCAAATCAGATTAGTTGATAAATGGATGAAGATGACTCTGATACCTTTTTTTTATTTCTTCGACCCTAATTCTTGTACATTTAATTATTAAGTTTTTGACTAATCACTCCTGTATATATTTTCAAGAAATAAATTTATTTTCAATTTATAACAGAAATTATATATATATATATATATATATATGGGCTTATCGTTTCTCAAGTTGCTTGAGATAATTTTATTAAATCATAACCGTACAAAGAGGGATCAATGGTAATGAAGGAAGAGAGAAAAAAAAGAATCATAACCATTCAAAGGTGAATCAATCGATATAAGAAAATAAATAAACAAAACGACGTAGTATTGGGTGGCGGGAATAAGCTTATCTCAAGTTGCTGGAGAAATATTTTTCCCTATATATATATATGAGAAAAATATTTCTTAAGCAGCTTGAGATATATTTGTTAGATCCTGTATGACCTTGCTATACCGAAAGGTATGCGCTCAGAGATACCTAAGAGGTAAGTACCGTAATAGGCTTATAGCCAGTATTCTAATCACCGCGCACAAGCAACAGACTGATAGCCAAGACGTGGGTGTGTGTAGGGCAGTAATAGTAAATAGGTCAAAAATGTGTACCTGAGGTCTTTAGCCTCTTATTTATAAGGGTTACCTCTAGGGTTTGTGTAGATCTCGCAGTTGCAGTAGGATTCAACTTCCTGGCTGTTGAGATAAGGATTCTATCCCAAGTATCTTGTTGATTAATATTGTCAGGATAATTAGGCACTTATCCTTTAATGACTTCTTAGGTAGGTAGTTAGGATATGATATATATCCATAACAATGTTTATCTCCGTCCACCACAAAACTATGTCGTTTTGATTGTTTATTTTCTTATATTAATTGATTCACCTTTTAATAGTTATTTTATTTTTCTCTCTCTTCCTTTATCATCATTGATCTATATTTGCACGGTTATGATTTAGTAGCCGGATATAAAGTTATCTCAAGCTGCTTAAGAAATGATAAGCCCTATAGAGAGAGAAAAATATTTCTCAAGCAGCATGAGATATATTTATTTTCGTTCACCCCAAAACTACGTCGTTTTATTTATTTATTTTTTTATATTAATTGATTCATATGATTCCCTTTTTTCTCTTTCTTTCTTTATCACCATTGATCCATCTTTATACGGTTATGATTTAGTTGTCGGAGATAAAATTATCTCAAGTAGCTTGAGAAATAATAAGTCAATATATATATATATATATATATATATATATATATATATATATTGCATTGTTGTAGCTGGATTTCAATCTTCTATTCTCATTTATTATCCCTTTCTTAATGTATTAAATTATCGTAGTAGACTATACTATTAACCGTACCATGTAAGAATAACTAAACGGTTAATTATGTTATTGTTGAACACAAAGGTCATTTCTAGGAAATATCTTTAATGTTACAAATGCATCTAATTTTCGGTATATCTTCCAGTCAGAATATGATGTAAATTTTATTTTTGTCACATGTCACATTATAAGTGGAAAATAGGTACTACTAAATTTTTTGTCCATTTCTAGCTCCCGATTAGTGTTCATCATGTCCTACAAGCCAGCCACGTTCCATACAACTTCGACAATTTTTCTTCCTCGTAGAAATTAGTATTTTTCTATTATTATTTTGTTTTTAGATTTCTTGAGACCCACGCATAATTATTGCAAGAAGCCAACTCATTGAGTCAACCGATTACCACAAATTTTCGTAGAAAATAGCATTTTTCTATTATTATTATTTGTTAGCTATCTTGTGACCCACTTATAACTTGAAGAAACCAAAATGATTCTGCCAACCTTCACGTAGACTTGAGCAACAAATAAATTAGTACTATAAACTCACACCTTTCTTCTCTCAGTCTTCTACTCACCAAACGTTACTATCCACTCTCTAGTCTCTATTCCATTTTCTTCACATTCACTGACATGAGTTATCCACATTTTCTTGTTATGCCTTATCCAATTCTAGGACATATGAATCCGCTTCTACAGTTCTCTCAGATTTTGGCCAAACATGGCTGCAAAATCACCTTTTTAATCACTGATTTCAATAAAAAAAGAGTGAAGATGGCAAGTGAACCCTTAGGATCACAGATAAGGTTTGTGTCACTCCCAGATGGTTTGGATTCAGATGACGACAGAACTGACCAGGCCAAGATAATATTGTCACTCAGAAGCACCATGCCTACTAAGCTTCACAACCTCATAGAAAATATCAATGCCTTGGATGGTGACAACAAGATCACATGTCTAGTAGTTTCTAAGAATATAGGATGGGCCTTGGAAGTTGGACACAAATTGGGAATAAAAGGGGCATTTCTATGGCCTGCATCAGCAATTGCTTTGGCTTCCTATGAATCCATCCCAAGGCTTATTAATGAAGGAATTATAGATTCCCAAACTGGTAAGTAGTAATTACTCTATATACTACATAATCTCACAAATTATTTGCATGTTAAACTTGATTAAGAAAATCAAGCAATTCAGAGACAATCACCACAAAATATCAATGGCCAATATAGTATTCTTCCCTGCTTGTTGCAATTTTTTTGTTTTTGTTTTGGTGAGGGAGCTTGTTGCAATTTTTACTTGTATGGTTTGATGAAATATTTTCAATATTTTTTACCCTCAAACATCATCAAATTTTAGCAGTAATTGAATCTGACTAATGGTAGATACTGGTTTTTAAAATTTGAACTAGTTATTGACTGGATCTAAGTCTTGGTCATTGAGTAAATTAATAAACTACATAATAATAAACTATAATAGTTGTGCATTCAGTTGGGTGGTTTATCTTTCTGATGATAAAGTGTTAGCCAATTGATTATAGTTGGTCACAAGCTTATATTTTTCTCTCTATTTGAATTACCAAGAAAGTGCCTCATTTCTGTGTTTGAAAAGTCAATTGAGTAATCAAAAGCCACCTACCTACCATTGGGATATATACATTGCACCTTTTGGCCTTATCACATTGTCTCCCAAATCTCTCTGTGTCCAAAAAAGTCCCCTCCTTTTCCCCTTTCAAATGATACTTTATTTGTTTGGTTGGATTGAAAGGAATGGAGAGAATAAAAGAAATAGTATGGAATCATATTTCTTTATGTTCAAATATTTAACTAAGAGTCGAATGGAACTAAAAGAATAATTATTTTTTTTATCATCATTTAGATATTGTATAACTCTGCTAAATACTATTTCATCTCAAATTTTCAGCTAATTAATGAGTAGTAAGTAGTAACACTGACAGTGACAATTCTTAAATTTTTTTGGCATTAAAGGACTACCAACCAGAAAACAGGAAATTCAGCTTTTACCAAATTCGCCTATGATGGACACAGCAAACCTGCCATGGTGCAGCCTTGATAAGAAAATTTACCTTCACATGGTGGAAGATACACAAACTATGAAGTTAGGAGAATGGTGGCTTTGCAACACCACTTGTGATCTTGAGCCTGGAGCACATTCCATATCACCAAGATTCATGCCAATTGGTCCATTGATGGAAAGTGTCAGCAACAAAAGTTCATTATGGGAAGAAGACACAACATGCCTAGAATGGTTGAATCAACAACCACCTCAATCTGTCACATATGTTTCCTTTGGTAGTTTGGCAGTTGTGGACCCCAACCAATTCAAAGAATTAGCTCTTGGACTTGATCTCCTTAACAAGCCTTTTCTTTGGGTTGTGCGTCCTGATAATGATAACAATGTAAACAATGCATACCCTGATGAATTCAATGGAAGTAAAGGTAAAATTGTTGGTTGGTCACCACAGAAGAAGATATTAAACCACCCTGCAATAGCTTGCTTCATTACTCACTGTGGTTGGAATTCTACCATAGAAGGTGTATGTGGTGGCATACCTTTATTGTGTTGGCCATTTTTTAGTGACCAATTTGTTAACAAGTCATATATTTGTAATGTGTGGAAGGTTGGATTGGGATTAGACAAGGATGAAAATGGATTAATATCCAAGGAAGAGATAAGGAAGAAGGTGGAGCAACTTCTTGGCAATGATGACATAAAAGCAAGATCATTGAAACTGAAGGAAATGGTCATGAATAACTTAGTAGAAGGTGGTCATTCTTCAAAGAATCTCGACAAGTTTATCAGTTGGGCCAAGGATTAATGGTGCTTTTCGTAATAGTTTCCAAGTTTGATATATATCAATTGGGCCGAGGAATCTTCTTTTAATTTGATGATAGACAAAATGATATATCAAATGTTAGGTTGAGGTTTTTTCAATTCCCATAAAGTCCTAGGCCAAGTCATGTGCCCCTTATTCTATATTATGCTATAGCAGAGTTTTAAATTGTGGTCAACCACCGTAATTCGTGCTCCAAATTGTGATCTTAGATCTTTTTGCAACCGATAGTTGCAATTAAGACCACATTAACTTTCATTTCTTTAGCAATTGTTCACAATCTTAATTAAGCGCAACCGAAGTTTAAATCATTATCCCACAATATGCTTGATTTATCTGCTTTCAAAGATTGTGTTTCATTAACATACACAGGAAGAATAATATTTAACGACACTTTATTCAGGTGCTAACTTTTATGATTTTTTTTTTTTTTTTTTTAAAATTGATGTTATGAAAATTATTCAATGGAAGATAACCTTTATTTTGTCTGTAGAGATTGGGTTTGTGGATGGTATCATGAATCACATTTAGTTCCAGTCTAGAGTATTTGACATTTTGACCCAATACTTTGCCTTTCCTAGTTTCTACAAAATGTATTTGGATTTTATATACTTCGTTGAAAGGGAAATTCACAATTTTTTTAAACATAATTTGAGAATCCTATAAAGTAAAATCCTATTCGTTTAACGACGAAAAAAAAAAGAATAATGTAAAATGTTGAGAAAAAAAATAAAGTTTACGCTGATTGTAAATAAAATTTGTGAAGAAATAATCATGACACATCTTACCTCTTATTTTTTATTATACTATTATTTTATGAGGCGGTATTTTTTAGTTATCATCGATTTTTAGTTATTATCTCTATTATTTTTTAATCAAATTTAGATTCAATATCACTTGCCTCTTATGGCGGAGTCAAAAAATTTTGTGAGGATGGGCAAAATTTTAATATACAATTTTTTTTAAATTATAATTATTTATATGACAAAGAAATATATATATAGGGGCAGGAATTCTTACACGGGTGTATATGTTAGAAGTCTTACACTCAATCTTGACCATTGATCAACTTGTATCCAATGGCTCACATTACTAAAAATTTGAACCCTTAGATATAAGTGGGATTAACGGACAAGATTAAGAATGTATCTTACACTTGTGTAAAATGATCCTAACCTATATATATATATATATATATATATATATATATATATATATATAACTAAATTTTTTTATGTTTTAAGAGAGCGATCATTAATTATATGAAAAAAAATAAAAATTAATGCTCTAACTAAAAGGTTTGTATAAAATTGAAGGAAGGTAGGCGGTTGTAATAAGTGGGAGAGTGACTATTTTGTCACACCTGACAAAAAAATTTACCAGACTGCCACGCCAACTGTAAATTTTGCCAAAATGTCATGCGGGATATTTCGCTACATTGTGTAGCGAAATATGCTATGTCAGACTGCACAGTCAGCAAAAATGACACGTGTCAAGCAAGTAGAAATCCACTACACTGTGTAACGAATTATGTCGCGTGTCATTTTGGTAAAATTTACTGTTGGCGTGACACTCAGGTAAATTTTTTTGCCAAACGTGACAAAATGATCACGTAATAACTATAATAAACGAGTAATAAGTAATTCATTCAGTACAACAAAATATATTTTACATAAATGGGGGTTATAAAAGACTTTTACGCAGTTTGCCGTGAAACAATTTAGAGAAGGTCCAGAACTATCACAGTTACACTTACATGAGGCACTTTTGTATTTTATTTTTATTTAATGACGATTTTAGATATAGTTGCATTATTAATGAGTGAATAAACCATTACTGCTTCCACGCATAACGTCAATGAAGTCACAAACAATAACCACGTGATTCTGTTGTAAAGGTCAATGATTAATCTTTCATGATTTTCATCAAGACATGCATCTCCACTGGTATGTGTCATTCAATTCTTAACTATATGAATAATGACGCCAAAGGCTTCATGAAAATTATTGATGAAATAAAAGTGAGTATTAAAAGAAGATGAATTTCTTAATTTTTTCCTTATTTATTCTGTAATTTAAAGAAAAAATAGACTTTATTTCCTCCCCTCTGATTCTGGAATAGTGACCAAAATATTACTGTTTATCAAATTTTTTATCTAAATGCCACACGAACAATGTTATTTTCTAATATGCTACGTGGACAAGTTTGCTAAGCACTGTAACGAACTCGATTTGCTGACGTGTCACGTTTCTAGTGGACATCAATTTTGCTACATGGGATAACGAACTTAGTTGGAATGCATAATTACCCCGAACTTGGTTGCAATACATAATAAAATTATGCATTCCAACCAAGTTCGCTACCCTAAGTAGCGAATTTGGTACTTGATGTTCACTAGAAATGTAATACATCAGGAAATTGAGTTCACTATAATACTCAGCAAACTTGTTCATGTGACATATTGAAAAATAACACTGTTCACGTGACATTTGAGTAAAAAATTTAATGAACAGTGACATTTTGATAAGTGTTCCCCTAATTCCCTTGTCTCAGTCTAGACACAAGAGCAATGTTGATAAAATCGGACCGACTCGGGAACCAGTAAATTGGTCATATAACCGGTCCGATTGAAGCAATGGATCAGTCATGCATCAGAACCGGTGCGACCTGGTGTGACCCGGTCGATTTTCATGAAAATCGGTGACCCGGTCGGTTAATCGGTGACCTGACCCGGTCCTAAAAAAAATTCAATTTTTTTTTTGAAAATAAAATAAAATAATAATGGACATATTTGAATATTTTTTTGCTTATTGACTTACATAAGTTATGTACCTACAACACTAATATTATCTTAATTATGCACAATGCAGAAAATTTTGATTTAATTTATAATTAGAGGAGTCGTTTATTAAACTTGAAGTCGCGTACCACAATCATTATATTTTTGTTTGATCCTTTATTGGATAATAATATGTGGCTTTTTATTTTAATATTAAAATATTTGAAATTTTTATATATTTGTTTAGATATTTGAGTATTAGTCCCATAGCCGGCTCAAAGAGTCGAAGCTCGTGGGGATACCGGAGGGAGCCAACTCGCCTCAAAGAGGTAATTAGGGTTGGGTAACTCCAAAAAAAAAAAGATATTTGAGTATGTTTATAATTTTTCATATAAATTATAAAATTACATATAATTACTGGATCATGTTGAATCAATTATCTATTGATTAAATAAGTGACCGAGTACCTCAACCGAATTAAAGACTAGATCGATTTTAATAAAATTGCACAAAAGTGAACCAAATTCAATCAATTGTTTCGCCCTAATTTCCATGCAATTGATATGACAGTGCCACCAACTCTAGTTTTGTCTTGTCACTCACTGCTATCTGAACATAGGACTTTCGGCCATAATCAGCCACAAGGTGGATCCCAATTCCCACATGCACTTTCTACCTCATTTTCTTCTCTCTCAAGTTGGATCCCAGGATCACGCGGTACTCTTTTATTAATGTCACTATCTCTTTTCATTTTCACTACCAAACAAAAATAATTCAGTCTATATACATAGGGTGGTCATAGCCTTCACACTAACACTTATTAAAATCTTCTCCGTATAGTTGGTATGTATCTACCAAAGCAATAATTCAACTTGATAATAACTATTTAGAACTAGCAAGATAAGGTTACTGAAAAAACAGAATAACAAATGAAAGGTGCTTGAGTTATAAATACTCAAGGTGGCAAATTGTAGCACGTGCTGTAAACAAAAAAAAATAAACAAAAAATGAAGATGCATACAAAAATTAAACTAATAAAAATAAAGATATTAAATTAATTAAAATAACATAATTTATGTTTTTTGATTACGATGACAGTTGCACTGAAAAACGAAAAATAAAAAGTTGAACATGACTCGTATAGAATAGAGCAATAAATTATCGTAATAGAAGGCTCCGAGCATTGCCAACCAAAATTATAAAGTATTGCACATTGCACACTCTAAAACTATCGTCACTCTCGGTCATCAGCTTTATCTTTTGTGACAGAAATCAAATAATTCAATGATGCTGGTAGATACAGATTGGAGATGCTATCGAATCACTGAAACTATCCTTTTCGTGGAGCATATCTTTGTTATTATTGATATTACGGGAGTATGTATTTTTTTACTAAAGATAAGATAAACTGGAATTTATATAAGAATAATCATAAAAGAACAAAAAAAAAAGGGTTTTATTATTCTCCTTCAACATAAGATAGGTATCTTATGTTGTAGAGATAAAATAGGTGGGTCCCACCATTACAAGAAAAAAGAAAAAAAAAAAAAAAGATGAGGTGCGGAAATCGAAGTGAGAGAGTAGGAGATAAGTAATCTTATGCAAAAGGAGAGTAATATTTCCCAAAAAAAAATCAGTTATATTGTTATTTTGAAATTTAATAAAGGATGTACCGAAGATATTTTCAGTTTCAACTTATGTATGTAATGGCACCAAGGATGCCAAGTTCAGAGTATGAGACACGCGATATGAAGCACACGAGGAAAGACACCAGAGATGAATTCAAGTTAAAGAATTTTCCAAAAAGCAAAACAAGTACAATATTTGTAAACAAGCACTGAAATCGGAAGTCATCAATTTTGATTTGCCCACATTTTTGTTGGTACGTTCTCTTTTTTTTTTTTTGGATTATATGTTGGTACATTCTCTGACTGGCAATTAATTAGTTATTATTTTTTTTGGAGCTACCCAACCTTAATTATCTCTTGAGGCGAGTTGACTCCCTCCGGTATACTCACAAGCTTCGACTCTTTGAGCCGGTTATGAGACTAATCCGGAGTGCGGGGGTCAGTGATGGCTGAAGGTTCAGTCCCCTCCCCAAGAATGCATTCAGTGAGAATCGAACACATGTCCAACCCCACTAACTCAGCGCCAAGGAACCAAATGAGCTGCACCTATTGGGTTAGTTATTTTTTATTATGCCAAACTCTCTGAAATTTGTCACGTAACTGCTAGGAGCAAATAGATGTGTGAGAGTAAATAGAAATGTCCCCGAGGTCAGGAAATATTTTTTTATGGATCAAGATCATTTAATAATTTGATGATCTCTCTCAATATCAATTTTTTTTTTTATATCTCTGTTATTTTTCTTTTTTCTCATTTTTATTCTCTCATTTAGATTAAGGAAATATTTAGTAGATGAGAAATTTTTTTAACCCAAAAATCATGATTATCAAGAATATGTTGAAAAAGTAAATTTTCTAAAAAATATGACCAAAAATCTATTTGATAGCCAAAAATATTACTGAAAATATTAGCTTTAATTTACTAATTCTATACTTGGTTGATTGTTAAATATTATTGAAAATGTCCAATTTTTTCAACACCCAGATTTCAAAAATATCACCTCTCAATGTTATTCTTGAATGTCGTTTTGCTATATAATTTATTCACAAATTAGAATCTCGAAAAAAAATTGAATTCCTAGAAATTTTTTCAAAAACCTTATACAAATATGGATAAATAAAATTCTCAATACTAATTTTTCGAAAATCTAAAAAATATTTATATCCCAAACATTCTTTAAAGAACCACCCCAAAAATGATAGACCCGGATGCTCTCCCTATGCCAACACATGCATCCAAGCCCAGTTATGCCACGCTCAGGCCTCACCGGAGCTCCACTACCACCTGGTGTCTCCGTTGGATACGCCACCGACTTTGGTTAAAATGTAGAGCTTAATGAATCTTCATCCACTGAAAATGAAAGGTTGAGCCACTGTCTGCTGCCAGATGTCGTGTGTACCGAAGGTTTCCTAATAAAGTGATTATTCTGAAGAAAAGTTCCCACCGTCTTATATACGGTGTGATGTTGTCATGGAAATAGGGTTAAAGACTTCTCGTATAATAATTAAGGGAATGTTATATTTACAAACTCTTACAAACTATATTAAATATGATTGATCATACTTCAATTAACAGTATACGATCGGTCATACTTAGTGTAATTTATAAAAAAAATTTGTAAACGAATATTTTCTCTAATAATTATATGAAAAAATTTCTTTTCCTATATAGGCAATAAACATTGGAAAAAAATATTTATTTTATGTATAAAAAAAAATATTTTTCTCATGTGATATAAAAAATCTTTAACACATTGGAAATATTATTCCGAAAAATCATTTGGAAAAGGTTTCCAACTAAGGTGATTATTATATGTAAAGTTCCCAGCGTCTTACATACGTGGGATGTTGTCTTGGAAATATTATTCCGAAAAGTCATTTGAAAATTTACGGGCCCCGACTTGCTATTATTTATCATGATCAGGAGGTATTCCCATTCAACCTTCTCTGGGTATGGACCGGAAAAGAACGAGACTAATCTCCTAACCGAAAATTTTTGGCAGGGTTTAATCCCTGCACCAAACAATCCTTTGGGAGCTCAGTTGCCAAATGAGCTACCCTTGGGGTTTGATCACATCTTTTCTTTGTAATTAGACAATAGATTAACGGAAGAATCTGAATTTTTTCAATTCTAAATATTGGACAATTTGATTTTTTTTTCGTTGATAAACAGTCAATTTGGCTTTAAATTTTTTTTTTTATAGGAGATGAAAACACTGATACCCAATTAATTCAAACTTTGAAAGAACTCATATAAAAAAAAAACTATGTTATAAGATATAAGAACTTAAAGTTTATATAAACCCCGTACTAAAATCTTATGTCTCTTATGTGAAATTTCAAATCTTATACCTTGCGTAAGCTATTCCAAATAAATTAAGTAGGGAGTGAGAACTAAACAGAGAGAAATGGATTTCCCCTTACCGAGAAGAATTTCAATGGTTCCAGATTATCATTTATTCAGTGATCCGGACCAATCAAAATATTATAACTAACGAGGAGAGAGAAGAGAGAAGAAATAAAAAATAACTTTTTATTCAAATATCAGCTCTTGAATGCAAGGATCATATGCACAAAAAAAAAATTCCCCTCTCTCAATCTATTCATTTCTATATCCATCCACGCTATAAATTCTCTCACTCACGTAAAATCCCAGTGGAAAGACAACACTCTAACAAAGTCTTCAAATTCAAAAGAAAATTGTCCTTTTATAAATAGCACTTTGTTCCTGTTGGCATGTGAGAGGGCCAAGCCGTGCTCATGAGGGTACATAATTCCAGGTCAATTGGAAATTAAAAATCATGGAGGAGGACCATACCACGAATGTATGTCCAAGCTCATTTCCCATCATTGTTTTAAACAAAACCCATCGCTTACGTTTGGATTGACCCGAAAACATAAAAATTAAAATACTATACCACCTTAATTTGCAAGTAATGTATATAATATATAGGTTTAAATTATCTCCTTTTATAGAAGACAACTATCTTATGTTAGTGAGACATAAAAAGTTGTGCCATTCTTTTTTTATTTTTTTTTATTTTTAAAAAATGATGGGACCCACATAACTTGTTTCTATGCCTGAGGTAAGTTATCTTCTATTGAAGTAGATTAATAAATCCCATAATATATTAACAATAGTAACAAACACATCCACACAATCCCTCCATTGACAAATCAACAATCATACACATCTACACAAACTATTTCTCTAGGTTTCATTATAATTCTACACCAATAGTTTTTGCCCGCTTCTCTCTGCCAGATTAATTCCCTGTTTATACACTTCACGGACATGGGTATCCCACATTTTCTTGCAATACCTTATCCAATTCTAGGACATATGAATCCCCTTCTGCAGTTCTCTCAGGTTTTGGCCAAATATGGCTGCAAAATCACTTTCTTGAGCTCAGATGAGAACTACAATAGATTGAAGGCTGCAAGTGCTGGACAGGGCAAACTCATGGAATCACAGATAAAGTTAGTGTCTCTCCCAGATGGTGTGGATCCTCAAGATGACAGAAGTGACCAAACCAAAGTTATTTTATCCACCATAACCACCATGCGTGCTAAGCTTCCCAAGCTTATACAAGATATAAATGCTGTGGATAGTGACAACAAGGTTACTTGTATAATTGTTACTAAAAATATGGGATGGGCCTTGGAAGTTGGCCACGAATTGGGAATTAAAGGGGCTCTATTCTGGCCAGCATCGGCAACTTCATTGGCCTCCTTTAACTCCATGCAAAGGCTCATCGATGAAGGAATCATAGATTCTGAAAATGGTAAGAAATATTTAATTTGGGGAACAGTTATATTTACAAACTTTTTGTTTACAAACTACACTGAGTATGACCGGTCATACTTCAATCAAGAGTGTATGACCGGTCATACTTAGTGTAATTTGTAAAAAAATTTTGTAAACGGATCCTTCCCCATTTACTTTAATACCATAGTCAGTCAATTTCATATGAAACTCATTGAAAAAGAGAATTTTCATGTAACAAACTATCCTTAAAGTATATTATATTATTTCTTAACAACTTCATAGGTAATTCTGACCATGACCACAATTTATGAATAACCATTAAATATCTATTTCTACTTAATTATTAGTGCAACATACACTGACATAGACACTTCTTAATTACTTGCCTTTTGGCATTTCAGGACTCCCAAGAAAACAGGAAATTCAGCTTTCTTCAAATTTACCTATGATGGAGGCAGCTGCCATGCCATGGTACTGCTTGGATAATTCCTTCTTCTTCCAACATATGATGCAAGAGATGCAAAATTTGAATTTAGGAGAATGGTGGCTTTGTAACACCACTTTTGATCTTGAGGCTGGAGCATTTTCTACATCACCAAAGCTCTTACCAATTGGCCCATTAATGATGGCATGTGACCACAACATAAGTTCATTCTTGCAAGAAGACAGAACCTGCCTTGAATGGCTAGATCTGCAGCCACCTCAATCTGTCATATATGTTTCATTTGGCAGTATGGTATCAATGAAACCAAACCAATTCAAAGAATTAGCTCTTGGACTTGATCTCCTTGGCAAGCCTTTTCTTTGGGTTGTGCGTACTGATAATGGTAAAGAGGTAAACAATGCATACCCAGATGAATTCAAGGGAAGTCAAGGTAAAGTTGTTAGTTGGGCACCACAAAAGAAGATTTTGAGTCACCCTGCATTAGCATGTTTCATTAGCCACTGTGGTTGGAACTCTACCATAGAAGGTGTATATAATGGGGTGCCTTTCTTGTGTTGGCCATTCTGCAGTGACCAACTTATGAACAAGGCATATATTTGTGATGTGTGGAAGGTTGGACTTGGATTTGACAAGGCTGAAAATGGATTAATATCAAGGGGAGAGATAAAGAAGAAGGTGGAGCAACTACTAGAAGATGAAGAAATAAAAGGAAGATCTTTGAAACTAATGGAAATGGTAATCAAGAATAAAGCAGAAGGTGATGCGAATCTCAACAAGTTTATCAATTGGGCCAAGGAATAATATAAGAATATGCTCTTGTTGTCTGTCCATGCTTCAATAGAATTCTGAAATTGAGCATGCGCTAGCTTAATAATTTAACAAATAGTTTGAATAAATGAAAATGGACAAGAGAGACAATGAGAGAGACAATGAGAGAAAGAATAAATGTAAAATAAAACAAGAGTGGATAGCAAAAGTGTGCGGTATTAACTAAGTTATTCATTCTAAAACAAAATTTGCCTTGTGTTCTTACTTCTCTGTTTCACATAGAGATATTATTATTTTTATTTTTAAACTTAGTCAATATTTATTAATCCTCTATGAGGTTCTATGAGCTTAATTACGAGTTCCATAAAATCTACGTGGGTGATATTATGCAGAACCATGTATACAATCATGGGTGCATGGTGGTTGGTGGATGATAGTTGAGATGTATATGTTGTGCTAACTAATTTGTGTTGCGATAAGACCGAAAAACTTGTGGCTTTGGTTAACTGTATACCCGTGAGTGCAATTTGATTTCATTGGATAAGGTTAGGCAAATAATAGTTTGGTCCATATTGATATATGTTGCGATGATAACTAGTATATTGGTCGTACAAGTAATGAGGTGTGAGTAGCGTATCGTCCCATGAGGATTAAATGCACCAATTACTATTCTTGCTATTCTCTCTAATTTGGACAGATCAATAGGTGTAGATAAGAAAGATTTTGAATAAAAATAAATAAGGCAATTGCAATGAAAGTAAATTTCAGGCAAGAACGCAGAGAACTAAAACGGGCAATAAAATTAATTTAAAACAATTTTGGAAATAATTACATATTTATTGCACAATATAACGTCCAATTTCCTAAATTGGGCGTCACTCAAGAGGCAATCACGATTAGTTTAGGCGTCACTCATCAGGTGTTGACACGTGTCATATTTTTTTCCCAAAAAATAATAATTTAATCATAAAACATTTGAAGTCTACTCAATGAAATCTAATTTGATATATTTTATTTCTCACAAACATAATTTAAATTTAAATCAGGTAATCCTTCTTCCTTAGAGATTTAAAATATTTATTTAATTATTTCCTTTATTAATACATATTTTTTAAATTAATTTTTGAGTTTAAATCACAAATCAAATCTTTATTTTGTTTTTCTTATTAATAATAATAATAATTATTTTTTTAATTTAAATCACACATCAAATCTTGATTTATTTTTTATATTAAATCACAAACCGAGAACTCAGAGGCTTCGGAGTTTAAAAATGTGACACGTGTCAACACGTATCAACACCTGACACGTCAGCAATGACGTCTAAATTAGATTTCAATCAAGAGGCAATCACGCCTAATTTAGGTAATTTTATTTTTGAAAAACCATTCATAAGCCTTAATTAATTTTAGACCAAAAATAATAACACAGAAGCTTATAGCATTAATCATTAATTTCAAAAATAATATCCTTCTTCCTTAGAGATTTAGAATATTTATTTAATTATTTCCTTTATTTCTACAGATTTTTTCAAATTGTTATTTTAGTTTAAATCACAAATCAAATCTTTATTTTGTTTTCCTTAATAATAATAATTTTTATTTTTATTTTTAATTTAAATCACAAACCAAATTTTTGTTATAATAAAAAAAATTATTTTAAAAAGATTTAAATCACAAATCAAAATTTTATTTATTTTTTTATATTAAATCACAAATCCAAAACTCAGAGGCTTCTGGGTTTAACCGCTCTTATAATACCATTCTTGCAAATTTAAATTGTGTTTGTTAGAAATAAAATATGTAAAATGAGATGTCATTGCGTAGATCTCGAAAAGTTATGTGAAATCAAAAAAAGAATTACCTGATTTGGATACCTGAGTCAAAAGTTATGGCCTTCAGAAGTTTTATGATTAAATTATTTCTTTATTTGGAAAAAAATATGACACGTGTCAACACCTGATAAGTGACGCCTAAATTAAGCGTGATTGCCTCTTGAGTGATGCTCAATTTAGGCGTTGACGTCCAAATTATGCGTCATATTGTACAATAAATATGTAATTATTTTCAAAACTGTAATAAATACGTAATTAATTTATTAAAAATCATTAACTTAATTTTTTTGCCAACTAAAACGTGTATTAAGAATTCAATAACGGAAGCTGTAGCTAGGAAAAATTTCACCTTCGATCCTCTTTTAGTAGCTTAAATTAATTTCAATATTAAAATAGCTCAATTATTTCAAACAATTCACCTTCTAATTAATTAGTTTGTTATATCCTAATTTCTTAGTGACTTTAACCTTTTAACCCAATTAGAACCCTAATGTCTTAGTAATTCCTCTTAGATTAAGTATTAAGCGTGATCAATTCTAAAAGTTTGCAATCTAAGCAAGCCTATGTCTAGATCATGCAAGAATTGATATTTTACATCCGTCAGGATTAAAATCCCAATATGCCTATTATGAACCCTAACCTTCAAATCTCTATAAGAGTGATCAATTCATACATGAATATATAAAATTAATCCAAGGTAAAACACAAACAATTGAGACAATTTATTAAAGAAAAAATTTAAACCACAAAAGGATTCACGTCGGATCCATAACTCTAACTACAAAAAAAACTAGCCAGACATAGCTGGCATAAACAAAACAAAGAAATAAAAAGAAATAGATGAAATTATGAAGAAGAAGAAGAAGAAAGAGATTCAATATTGAACGATCTTCTTCAAGTTTCTTTTTCTGAAATCTTCGATCTCCAGCTCTCAACTTTTCTCTCTAAAAACGAAAATTGCTTCAGCCAAAGATACTCAATAAGGGTTTACATTCTCCTTTTATAGCTTAATTCCGAATATGCCCAAATTTTTATCAAATCTTTGCATACAATCCTCCTTCAGATGCAATTTGACATCCACTTAAAAATCCCATGCTATTGGCGCGGGTATGCTAAAGCATAATTTTGGCCATGGCGCTAGTATCGCAACTTCCGTGCTACTGGCGCGAGTGATTTGTGCAGTGCTGGTGCTTCTAGCGCGAGTTCCACACTACTGGTGCGGTCAGACAGTGGCTTCAAGATTCTATGGTTCTGACAACGCCAATCCTGAGCTACTAGCGCGGGGGACTTTGATTTTTCCTTCTTTTGCTCTTTTGAATTTCACTCTTTTCCATGTAGTTTTACCTACAAAACACAAGAATTTTACAAGAGCGAGTCTAAATATGGATTATTAATCTTTATCTTGATTAGGAGTTTTTTAACTCAATTTAGATTAAAACCTTGCTCTTTTTATCTTTTAAAACATTATATGCTGGAGGCATATCAATACATAAGTTATTCATTCTAATACAAAATTTTACCTTGTGTTCTTACTTCTCTGTTTCACATAGAGATATTTTTATTTTTAAACTTGTGAATCTTTATTCTCCATGAGGTTCTATGAGTTAATTACGAGTTCCATAAAATCTACTTGGGTGATATTACGCAGAACCATATATACAATCATGGGTGCATGGTGGTTGATGTTGATAGTTGAGATCTATGTAGCACTGACACTGACACAGGACACGTGACACGATACGACACGACACTCTGACACGTTAATTGTAAAAAATGTTAAATTTCGACACGTTAGGACACGTTTTGATATTAAATAATATATTTAATTTATGTAGTATATATTATCTTTAATATTCAATACTTCAACAAAAAATGTATCTAAACTTACAATATTTATAAATTTTGCAAAGAAACATAAGATATTCCAAATATTTATATTAAACTCAATAAAATGATAATCATAATCTAACGAATCTAACAGTTGGAACTAAAAACTCAACGCAATTTAACCTTTGAACCGTTTTTTGAATTTCAATAACGCGTGTTGGAGTGTCGGGGAGTGTCGGAGTGTCCGAGAGTGTCGGGAAGTGTCGGACACGACATGTTAGGGTTTTTGAAGTGTCGCTGCTTCATAGGTTGAGATGTATATGTTGTGCTAATTAAGTTGTGTTGTGATGAGACCGAAAAACTTGTGACTTTGGTTAACTGTATAACCGTAAGTGCAGTGGCGGACCCAAAAAATTGTATTTGTATGTGCATATTTAGTGGTGGGTTCTGAGGCTGCGCCCCGAAATTTTTTTAATAAAATTCTAAATGTATTAAAAAATAAAAAAATTAAAAAAAAAACTTCAACTTAACATAAAATAATTTAGTGTTGGGTGAAGCTTTGTCCGTTTCTCCGCTCCTCAGGTCCGGAACGGAGCTTTTCCCTTGCTTAAGCCGCAGCCATCATCAGGTCTGCTGTCCTCCGTCTTCCGAATTCCTTTCAAAGGCTTTGTCGCGTTGTATTTAAGAGTTAAATTGGCCCTTTAATCTAGGCCAGCTCGCTGAAGCGAGCTGCTCAGCGAGAAATTTCCTTCTCCTTGCTCACTTGCTCGCTTAATTGTGCTGCTCGCTTACTTGCTCGCTGAAGCGAGAGGTAGAGCGATCGTGACCAAATAATTTATTTTTATTTATGTCTTTATTTCTGCTTGATATTCCTCAGATTGCAACTGCGTTCTCATCTTCTCATCGTTATCAGGTTAGTACTTTGTTATTCTAGTATGAAACAACCTGAAACAACAACAAAGATTAGGATCTTATCTATTTATTGGCAATTTACTATCTTTTAATATTTTATTTAATTAATACTATATTTTTAATTATTATTTGAACTATATTTAATATTAAAAGCATAGTATATTCTCCAACAGTTAGATCAGAATCTACCTATGTTACACCGACACCGACACAGGACACGTGATACGACACGACACTCCGACACGTTAATTCTAAAAAATATTAAATTTTGACACGTTAGGACACGTTTTGATATTATATAATATTTTTAATTTATATAGTGTATATTATATTTAATATTCAATAATTTAACAAAAAAATAAAGTTAAACTTATAATACCCATTAATTTTGCAAAGAAACATAAGATATCCCAAATGTTTATATTAAACTCAATAAAATAGTAATCGTAATTCAATGAATCTAATAGTTGGAACTTAAAATGCTACACAATGTAACCTTTGAACTTTTTTGAGTCTTTGCACCAAGTATTGGAGTGTCGGGAAGTGTCAGAGTATCGAACATGACATGTTAAGGATTTTGAAGTGTTGATGCTTCATAGGAACCTACTATGGGAAAATATACTCTCATAGGGTGGGTTCTAAACATGGTTGTATCTATAGCATAAAAAACTTCTCTCTTATTGCATGAGATTTATAAAACCCC